GGAGTCAAAATACCATTTAAGAACATCATTATAACTGAACCAAAACTATTGTTCTGGGACTTAAGTATGAACATATTTCTAGACCACCTTTGGGACTAAAAGTAAAAATCCAGATTACTGCAATGGTTATAATGTATTACAGTATTTTAAAATAACTGATAACACCACTTCATTTAAAATATATGAAGCTCATCAAGAAATCATTGAATCTTCCCTTTGCTTAATATACCTGCCAAGCAAAAAAGGGAACAACAAGTATTTTAAAATAACGGATAACACCACTTCATTTAAAATATATGAAGCTCATCAAGAAATCATTGAATCTTCCCTTTGCTTAATATACCTGCCAAGCAAAAAAGGGCACAACAAATAAAATAAATAAATAAATATTAATTCTCCTAAAAACGCACTTTAAAAAAACCCAGAAATCATGAGGGTCAAACAAACTCTAGAAAAGGGATATAAAATCCCATTTAATTAAACAAATAAGGGGGTAGGGCGGGTGGAAGCATGGGTCCCTATCTACAGTGAACAAAGGCTATGGCCGGGAGGAGGAGGGCTAGGCCTGCCATGGACAGGAGCTACAGTGGGCCCAGAAGGGCTGGAACAACCCCCTGACCTTGGTGGGCAGAGAGCTGCTCCAGCCCCTAGCAGTTAACCAGAACCGGTCAGGGTAAGGATTTCTGGTTAACCATTCACATACCCACTCTCTAAAGCCAAAGAAGTTAAGTCAACATAGATTATATATTAGAATCACTTCTGGGGAGAGAATGATTCAGTGGGGAGCATTATAAAACAAAAGATGGAGAATCCATCCAGGAGAATCAGTCTTAGCTATGAATTACCTGATTACTGGCATTTTAAGTCAATGCTTTTCATATAAAATATGTTGCAAGAATTTTTAAATTCGTTTTGTGTGCATTTGGATTATTTTAATTTGTCATGCAAAAGCATGAATAAGATCTCTGCTTTCAAGGTTATTTCAACCTATCAAATAGATACATCTTTTTTACTATATATTTTAGAAATGTGCGTCCATGAGTGCATTTGTTCAAGAACGCCTTCTACAGGGTAAGGGCTCAGACCACCAAATTTGGTATGCAGCTTTCTCTTATCATAACTTACAGCAAGGCCAGGTTTTGGTTGTGCCAGGACAATTGGGTGTGTGTGAATCTGATTGTTTCTCATAAAATGGAAGGGGGTGGGCAAGTCTTCTAGAAGGAACAGTTTTATTGCAGAATGACCACTGGGAGCGGCTCCACTCCAGAACAATGATTTAAATGAAGACAAACAAAACTTTATTTAACTTAAAGGACCCACCCAACTTTGGGCAAATCTTCTAGTTCCTCTTATAAACTACAACTCTTCTTACAGGTTTTTCTACTGATTCTACTGTAGACTAGATTTTCTCAGTAAATTATGATATAGTGCTTGCTCTTAATGTTATAGATAAAGCTGCAAATCCTTTTAGCAAAATCTGCTGATGTTTCCATTCCAAATTTGTGAGCAGTTCTTCACCCCTTAATCACAAACTTTTACAATATTGACATTCCAAATCCAACAATCAAGACTCAAGGAATAATGTGTATGTCTTTTCATCCCAAAGTACTTCTCATCAGGCAAACAGCGGAGGATTCACTTGCTCATTTTTTCTGCTGGAGGAAAGACTCCAAACTGTAATCACTATGCAGGGGATGAGGCATTGGGATGGAAAAAAATGTAAAAGCTGATGGCTAGTGGTTAATGTGACACAAAAGTCCTGCTTGAGGAACAAATGAACACGTTAAAACTATATAAAGGCAGTCCCCGGGTTACGTACAAGATAGGGACTGTAGGCTTGTACTTAAGTTGAATTTGTACTTAAGTAGGAACAGGCGTCCAGATTCAGCCGCTGCTGAAACTGACCAGCAGCTGACTACAGGAAGCCCGCGGCAGAGTTGCTCTGCCCCGGGCTTCCTGGAATCAGCCGCAGCAGCTGAATCTGGACGCCTGGGACAGAGCAGCTGGGGCACTGCCGGGTAGGTCTCTGCAGTGCCACACCTCAGCGCAGCGGGGTCCAACCCGGCAGCACCCCAGGTGCTCT